CCTCACATTGCTCTACTTCACGTGTTTCGGCATGATGACGAGTGCCATCACGCCCGCTGAAGGGCTGGGAACGCTGCTCTCTGCCTTCATCTACTCCTTCTGGAACCTTCTCTGCGGCTTTCTCCTGCCACAGCCAGTGAGTGCAGTGCTCGTTGCTATCTGTTTTCGAGTGCTCGATGACTGTAGCCAGTGAGTGGTGGCCTGATCGCCCGCACGCTCGTTACCACAGCTGGCGAGTACATTGTGCATCTTGGGCTCTGTTCTTCTTTCTTGAGTACTCAACATAACATCCCTAGTGCTGTAATGGAAATGTTTGCATGGTATCAACTTCATATAATGACCCTTTTTCCCCACTCCTGGCCTGCTGATTCTTCTTCCCTCCCACGGTCTACAGAAAATCCCGGTGTACTGGATATGGCTGTATTGGATCAACCTCGTCGCGTGGACCCTCTATGGCCTCGCTGCTTCCCAGGTATACCTGCCTTGCTACTTCCCTTTCTTTCTTTTTCCTTTTTTTTTTCCTCGCTGCTTCCCAGGTATACCTGCCTTGCTACTTCCCTTTCTTTCTTTCTTTTTTCCTTCTTTTTTTTCCTCGCTGCTTCCCATGTATACCGTATTTTGCCTTTCTGATTCCCAGATATACCCGTTTTTTCCTCACTGCGTTCCAGGTATTCCCTCTTTTGCCTCGCTGTTTTAGAAGGTATACCCTTGTCTTCCTCTAAGCCTGTTTTACCTTCATATTTCTCTTCTCCTACTCCCCTCCCACCTGTTCCTTATACCATCCCGAACTTCTGTCACTTGTACCTCATTTCATCTCTGACTGCGTTACAGTTGGGAGATGTAACGACGCTGGTGGTGAGTTCACCAGGAGTACCACCTCAGATGGTATCGCAGTTCATCCAGCTTTACTACGACTTCTCCCACGACTGGCTCGGCTATGCTGCTGCTGCTCTGCTCGGCTTCTCCTGCCTCTTCTTCTGCGTCTGCACCTACGCCCTTCGCAACCTCAACTTCCAAAATCGTTAGGAATGGGAGAGATGAGCGCGCAGCTGCTCTGCTCGGCTTCTCCTGTCTCTTCTTCTGTGTGCTCACCTTCTATGCCCCCCGCAACCTCAACTTCCAAAATCGTTAGGAATGGGAGAGATGAGCGCGCTACTACTCTGCTCGGCGTCTCCTGTCTCTTCTTCTGTGTGTTCACCTTCTATGCCCTCTGCAACCTCAACTTCCAAATGCGCTGAGAAAAAGACAAGACGAGTCAGAAGCCTGTCGGAATTGTTTTGAGCCTGGCAAGTCTGGCTGGGCCGTGCTGCTGCTGCTGCAACGCATGGCTTCTCTTGCCTTTTCTTCTGCGTGTTCGCCTGGCGCTCCGCAACCTCAGCTTCCAGTGGCAATAGTTTTGGGAGAAATGAGCTGTTGTGAATGGCGCTGCTCGGCTTCTCCCATCTTCTCATCTTTGCCTTCTCACCTACACCCTCCGCAACCTCAACTTCCAGTGGCTATAGGAATCCTGCTGTGTGGTAGGGAGGTATGAATGAGAAGGTGGGAATGGATGAGATAGATGGGGTCATGGGAGATCTCTAGACCACTGGTGCTGCTTTCTGTTCAGCTTCCAGCTTGTGTTTGAATAAAAGGTGCAGCCCTATTTTTAATAAGGAACTGTACTGTTCAAACTGCCAAGTAGCTAAAGCTTCTATGTATCTGATAGTACAGTTTTTTTAGAATGAATAGGAGTTCTTTATATGCTTCTTATGTTTGGAGGGATCCCATGAATCAGGGGAGTTTGGGCTGGTGCGAGGTGAGGAGGCTACAATGCTGCCATACTTCTGGGACCCTTCATGGTGCAATACATTGGGTTGGGGGATGGCATAACAATGCCACATGTCACATAGACCACACCAGTAGATCAGGAGCAGGGGGCAGTATGGAAGAGTTTGGAAGAGTTTGCTTGAGAGGGCCTAGGAGCTGAGCATTTGGTAGTCTCCGAATGAAGCTCTGGCTGATGAGATGGTGTGAAAGGATGAGGCGGATGGGAGATCCCTAGGCCACTCTGCTGCTTTCTTTCTTCCCTCTACATATTTTTATACATTTTTTAATATATTAAGTATACATGTCAATACATGGTTGTTCTTTACACAGCTGCTCACTTCCTCAGGTGGAGCAGTCTCGCATCGATCCAGCCAATGCTGACCTTGGAAAGGAGTATTTACTGCCGAGCGGGGCGCAGGAATGTATGGAGATATCCCGTACGTACTCGCGCAAGGGTCGATCTGTCAAACTATATTTGATATATGTTTCTACAGGCTAGGCAGGGTTAGATTTTAGTGAGTACAACACTTTGTACTATCATCACTGTACCCTAGCCTCTAGTCACTTTGATTCTCTCGACATGGTATCATGCTAGGTTTGGTAGCTTCCGTTCACCTTCCTACTTGCTTCCACTCACCTTCCTAATCGCTTCTAACTTAGTTCCTATTCTAGCGCGCCCTGCTGTCCCACTGCCCCATTGCCTAGCGCGCCCCACTGCCCCATCGCATAGTGCGCCCCACTGCCCCATCGCCTAGTGCGCTTCGCTTCCCCATCGCCTAGCACGCCTTGCTTCCACATCGCCTAGCGCTCCTCGCTTCCCCATCACCTAGTACATCCGTTGTTGCTAGCACAAGTGTGACAGCTGCAGACGCGTCGATTTCCTTCACGCTCGACTCCGGTGCCTCTCAATGTTTCTTCCACTGCCACACCAGCCTCACGCCTCTTGGAGCTCCTGTCGCAGTTGTGCTGGCCGACCCCTCTTCTAGACCGGTCGCGCGCAGCACTATTTCCCTCCTGTCTCCGCCAATCCCCCCTGGCTCCCTTACGGGTCTGCACGCCCTTTTGTTCTCCAAGAATTCGGTTGGTGTGGGTCATCTTCAGGACTGGGTGTCACCATCATGTTTCCTGGGCACAAGTTGTTTGCGACCTTTACTGACTCTACCACTGGGACTCATCTTGTTAAGTTCTCTCAGGAGTCTGGGTCAGGCCTCTTCTCACAGTGCACTGCATCCATCCCGGTGTCTGCGTCTAGTCAGGTGGCTGCGTCCTGCTCGCCTCGGTCCCTCATCCACCCGTCGCTGTTGTGGCACCACTGCCTAAGTCTCCATTCCCTTCCGCGCCCGAGTCATATAGTTTCTCATTGTCTTGTCTCAGTTCTCCCTGAGTCACTTGCCCCACTTCCTCCCTCACTTGCGCTGCCGTGCACTGCCTACGTTGAGGGCCGGCAGTGCGCCACCCCTCACTCCTCCTCGTTGTCTCATGCACTGAACCTCTTCAGACCCTGCACTTGGACCTCTAGGGCTCTGCCCCAGTTGCTGGAACTCGTGGGAAGCACTACATTCTGGTAGTTGTGGACAAGTTTTACTGTTAAACCACAGTGGTCTCCTTGGAGTGGAAGGCTAGAGAAAAAACTGGAACGGTACAAAGATTAGAATGGTAGTGAAATGGGAGAAGGTAAGAAGATGCTACATGAGAGTGGAAATAAATCTAACATTCCTAGGAAGCGGCAAGGCAGTAGGGGATCCATACAATGAGGTTGTTCCAATGCATCCATTGCCAGTAAGTGGAGTTGTTATGTGGAGTGTGTGACGGGTAGAAATAATAAGGACAGCAGGAGAGGGAAAGGGGGTCATTTTAGTGGGTTGATCAACCCAGCCAGCCATTTCCTTTCCATGGCTCACAGGGATTCTCTTTTGAGCACTTAGGAATAGAGAACATAGAGTACAGCACTCGCTGGCAGCAGAGGTTCCAGAAGTGAATGAAGGCAGATGGAAACATATCCAGACCTTCAGCTGGGATAATCCCACTCGCCATGCCATAACACGCGGAGTAGAGCAGCTTGAGGAACTGTAACAGCAGGAGCCGTAGAATTATCTAGGTGTCCACTCGAACTGAGTAATGGAGTACCGTCTGTTAATTCTGAGTACACCATATCCTGAATCACCAAGTATTGCAGCTGTATTACCACTTGTGCGAGCGCATATGGGATGGCTCCATAAACCATGGCGCCCCACTCCCGATAACAAGCACTCCTTTCCACAACATGCAACGGTTGGGTGGGATATTAGAGAAGAAGTTATTCTTCCTTTTCACTCTCAGTCATTCCAAGGTCTGTCCTACAGGTGCCCATTCATTCAAAGGTCTGCCTTCGGGTGACTTGGTAAAGGTGAGGGGTAATTTGTAGAAACCAGATGTTGTGCGCACTCTCAAGCGAATTACAAATGCTGATAATAGGAATACCGTAGGGTGTTCAGAGACATCATTTGAGGCACGTAAATGAACACATCTTTGTGATACATTCACAGCAGCTCATACTATCTCCCAGTCCTATCGCCTCTGGAAGTTGAGGTTGCGGAGGGCGTAGGTGCAGACGCAGAAGAAGAGACAGGAGAAGCCGAGCAGAGCAACAGTGACGTAGCCCAGCCAGTCGTGGGAGAAGCCGTAGTAAAGCTGGATGAACTGCGATACTGTCTGAGGTGGCGTGCCTGGTGGACCCACCACCAGCGTCGTTACATCTCCCAACTGTAACGCAACAAGAGATGAAACGATGAATACATGAAGCTAAGTTTGGGTAAGAAGGAATTGCTGAGGGCAAAAAGGAAGAGGGCATACCTGGGAAGCAGCAAGGCCATAGAGGGTCCACGCGACAGGGTTGATCCAATACAGCCATATCCAGTACACTGGGATTTTCTGTTGAGTATGTGAAGGGGGCAAACAAGCCAGAGAGAAGGAGGCGAGAAGACAGCCAGTTATCAGGGTTGATCTAACACAGCCATTTCCATTATTGTATGCATGGATGTTAAGTTGACAACTCAATAACGGAGAACAGAGCCCAACATGCACAATGCACTTCATCAGCGACAGCCATTGAGCGTGCGGGCGAGCAGGCCACCACAAAAACAGATATCAACGAGCAAAAAAGTGTTGTTTTCAGACGTCTCAAAACAGCACTTTTATTACGTGGAAACCACCACTCACTGGCTACAGTCATCGAGCACTCGAAAACAGATAGCAACGAGCACTGCACTCACTGGCTGTGGCAGGAGAAAGCCGCAGAGAAGGTTCCAGAAGGAGTAGATGAAGGCAGAGAGCAGCGTTCCCAGCCCTTCAGCGGGCGTGATGGCATTCGTCATCATGCCGAAACACGTGAAGTAGAGCAATGTGAGGAACTGGAACAGCAGGTACAGCAGGAACTTGCCGAGCGTCCATTCGAACTGGATCATCGAATATGTTATTAACGAGTACACCACAGCCTGAATCAGCAGGTATGGCAACTCGATCACCCCTTGCGCGAGCGCGTACGGGATAGCTCCATACATCCCGGCGCCCCGCTCCCGGTAGTAGATACTCCTTTCCACGGCCAGCATTGGCTGGATTGATGTGAGATTGCTCCACCCGAGGAAGAGAGCAGCCGTGTAAAGCGCACCCATGACGTTCACAATCTGCTGCGGTGTGTTGCGGGCGTGTCCGAAGCCAAAGAAGACCCCGCCGATGAGGAGAGCCATGATGAAGGAGAAGAAGAAGCGCGCGCCGTTGTAGTCGGGCATGCGCCAGTACATGAGGTGGCGCTTCCACAGATGGGTCGCGAACTGGGAGAGCGGCGTGGTGGGGTGCTGCGTTGGGAAGAAGAGGTCCGGCTCGCCTTCGGGTGGGATGCTAGATTCCTGGATGAGTGACTCGATGGCCCTGAGGGTGTTAAGGGAAAGGGAGCGCAATGGGTCGGGGGGAAGAGAGTGTAAGGGAGAGTAGTGGTGTGAGGTGCTGCGTCGGGAAGAGCAGGTCTGGCTTGCCTTCTGGCGGCTTGCCTTCTGGCGGCTCACTGGATTCCTGGATGAGCGACTCTATGGCCCTGTTGGTGTGGGGGGTAAGGGGGAGCAGAGTGTCGGGGGGGGAGGGTGAGGGGGGAGAGGGTATTTGAGGAAGCGAGTGAGGCATGCTGGATTCCTGGATGAGTGCCTCCATTGACCTGATGGTGTGGGGGGCAAGGGAGAGAGGCAGGGGATAGTGGGGAGAAGAGTTTATGGGAGAGAAGATGTACAAAAGAGGGGGAAAGAGCTGCATGTGGCACGCGCGTTGATTTTTGTACGAGAGATGTATGCCCATGATTGATGGTTGAATCAGCGAGGCTGTTGGGCCTGCAGATTGTTTCTGACGACTCTCAGCAACCAACCATTGACCGGCTGTGAAGCACGAGGTTGAGTAATATATCAGCGGCTCTATGTAGTAATGGGGCATGGGAAAGAGAGGTATGAGAGGATAGGATGGAGGAGAGGGGAGGAGGAGAGAGGGGGAGGAGGGTATGAAGGGTAGTTGCAGATAAGGTAAGCAGGGATATGTGGAACTGGGTGAAGGGCGTGTGAGGGAGACTGGGTTTGGGAGAAGAGGCCAGGATGGTTATCTGGAACCTGAACTGGCTTGTCTGATGAAACAGAGCTTATGAGCCCCTGCAGTGTTCACCTGAGCCTCTGCTGTTCTCACCTGAGGCTCTGCTGTTCTCACCTGAACTTCTCTGACTGGCGGAACAGCTGGGCAAAGTCGACGCCAAGCCTCTCTGCTGCTGCTGCGGCCGTGACCTCGAGCATCCACGCTGCCGGGTTGGCCCCTGGCTGGATTGGCTGCACCCCTGGGATGGCCTGGAGAGGGGATGGGAATGGTGGGGAAGGAGGGAGGGAATGGGAGAGGGGGCAGGGCGGAGGGAGACATTATGACCTCGAGTATCCACGCTGCAGGGTTGGCCCCGGGCTTGATTGGCTGCACCCCTGGGATGGCCTGCAGGGGGATTGGGAATGGGAGAGAGAGAATGGGCGGGGGGGCATTACGGGGGGCATTATGGGGGGCATTATGGGGGGGCAGGGGGGAGGGAGACATATGACAGCATCCACGCTGCAGCGTTGGCCCCAGCTGCATGGGCGGCACTCCTAAGATGGACTGGTGGAAGGAAGGGTGGACCATGGAAGAGGGAAATGAAGAAGGGGAAAGCAGAAGGGAGGCATTCATGACCTCGAAAGGAGGGAGAAGAGAATTTATGAACGGGACAAGCCATGAGAGGCTTAAAATTTGAGGTGCCAAAAATAAATCAGACGATATGGTTCGAGACAGGATGGAAGCAATTTATTGAATTATTAACCATGTTAGAAGCATTTAAGCCACCATTCCTGCCCCGTGCTTAAGTATCATTCCCTTGACGTAACTATGCCTTACCTTGAAGTATCATTTCCTTGACGTATCTATGCTTTACCTTGAAGTAGCGAATGAGGTCGCATGACTGTGCCCCCAGTGACCCCGCGTAAATGACTTCTCCCCCCCGCTGCATCAGCAGCAGCTGCAGGGCGGTGGGAGGTAGGAGGGGGGTAGGAAGTGAGGAAGAAGTGGGTATGAGGTGGGTGGGATGAGGGTATGGGATGGGAAGTTAGGGCAAGAAGCAACATATATCCTATAGTGCATATGTCAATCACCTCTCCTGTACGCTGCATCAGCCGCAAACGCAAGGCATAATCTTGCAAGAGAGAGAGGTAGAAGAGATGCGAAGGGGGTACAAGTACATGCTAGTGCAGGCGGATCCAGCGTGCGATGAGTCGATTTTTGAGTCGACTTATCACACGCGGAGATGCGAAGGGGGAACAAGTACATGGTAGTGTAGGCTGTGCCAGTAGTACAAGGGAGGGACGAAGAGTAGGAGAGAAGAGAGAGTGCGATTTGAGCTGGAGTAAGGCATTGTGGAGTAAATCATTCATAGAGTATGGTGCAAATCATTGTACGGTGATGTTGTGTGCATGCATTGCAATGTACCGTGTGCCTCTTCACAGTGTATTTTCGTTACAGTGTAACGAACACATGGCTGGTGTATAGTGCTCTGAAGCACACCACCTTATGACCTGTGCTGACTGTGCCGCACATGATTTTCTTGCAGGTTTTGACACGACGTATAATCTGAAGTGTATGCATATACATTGGTGGACACAGCTCAAGCATAAAACCCTTGTTGTCTTTTGTTGCTCCGTCAAAGGCCTCAAAGATGTCACTGGACGGTTGGTGTGCATATATATATATATACATATATTATATATATGTATATATTTGAATATATATGACAGATTACATGATGCTTCACCTCATCAAAGGCCTCAAAGATGTCGATGGACGGCTGGTGGATGGTGCACACGACTGTGCGGCCCGTGTTGACTGTGTTGCGCACCGCCCTCATCACTATGGCCGCTGCCCTCGCATCCAGCCCTGTGATTGGAAGCGAGGTTAAGGAGTAGGCGGAGAGAAACATGTGAGAGGAAGAGGAAAGCTGGTGAAGCAAAGAGGTGCAACCAGTTTCCACTGTGTTGCGCACCGCCCTCATCACTATGGCCGCTGCCCTCGCATCCAGGCCTGTGATTGGATGAGAGAAAGGAGAGAAGGTTAAGAAGGTGACGGAAAGAGGTGAGAGTGTGAGGGAAAGTAATGAAACTTCGAGGAGGCGAGTTGGAAATTTGACGGAAAAAGGTGGGAGGTCAAGGGAAAGAGGTAGAAGCTTGACGCTGGATGCTGGTATGATTAGAATATTGATGCTGGGTGTGTGCTTCACTGGGCAGCAAAAAACAAATCTTGGGCTGGAGAGAAAAACGTTGGGGAAAAGAGGTGTGGCCAGGTTTCACTGTGTTGTGTTCTGCCAGGTTTCACCTCAAAATATTGATGTGCTAAAAAGTGGACAATGTCCTAGCCGCCTCAAAGGTCAAAATCTTCTGAGGCGCCTTAAAAAAAAAAACGTCCACTAAGAGGACGGGCGGGTAAGGAAGAGGCTTCTGCCCAGTCCAACAGACCATCCTGCCCGGCTGAGGGGACGGTGGTACCTGAGAGGGAGGTGGTACCTGAGAGGGAGGTGGTACCTGAGAGGGAGGTGGCACCTGAGAGGGAGGTGGCACCTGAGAGGGAGGTGGTACCTGAGAGGGAGGTGGTACCTGAGGTGGGTTCATCCATGAAGATGATGGCGGGGTTGGCTACGAGCTCCACTGCGATGGTCAGCCGCTTCCTCTGCTCCACCGACAGCCCGTCCTGCCCCGCCGTCCCCACCAGCGCTCCCTTCACAGGTTCCAACTCCACCAGCTCCTCCACCTCCTCCACGAATTCCTGTTGAGGAGAGGGTAGAGAGGTGTGGGGAAAGAGGCATGAGCACTGACACCCACCACACCAGCGCGCCCTTCACCGGATCCAACTCCACCAGCTCCTCCACCTCCTCCACGAATTCCTGTTGGGCAGGGCAAACAAGGGAGTGGGGGGATGAAAGGGGTGTTGTTGCATACCCAGGTGTCCCCACCAGTGCTCCCTTCACCGGCTCTAACTCGACCAGCTCCTCCACCTCCTCCACGAATTCCTGTTGGAGATGGGACAGGGGAGGGGGGAAATGGGAGACGGGAGAGGGAAATGGGGGAGGGGAGCTGGTAGAGTGGCATGGATACATGCTCCATTCTCCGGCTCTAACTTCACCAACCCGAGAAAGGATGGGAAAAGACTCCCACCAGCGCTCCTTCACCACGACCTGCTCCGTCACCTCCTCCACGAATTCCTGTTGGGAGGGGAGAGGCGAGAGGGGAGGAGGGGAGGGGGGAGAGGGGAGAGGGGATAGGGGATAGGGGAGAGGGGAGAGGGGAGAGGGGAGAGGGGAGAGTGGAGAGGGGAGAGCGGAGAGGGGAGTAGGGGAGAGGGGAGAGGGGAGTGGGGAGAGGGGAGAGGGGAGTGGGGAGAGGGGAGAGGGGAGAGGGAAGAGGGGCATGGGCATTGTAGCAAGGATGAGGAAAGAGACATGCTTGCAAACTCCGACCACACCACAGTGCCCTTCACCGGCTAAACTCCATCAGCCCTTTTTTTTCGGAAATTTCAAAAGAGATACGAATTCCTGTTGCGGACGGAGACATGAGGATATGGGGGAATGGTATGGGCGAAAGGAACTGCCTACCACTCACTCACCACAGTTACACGCCTCCAACCATCTTTACCACATCCCTCCACTCACCATGATTACATCCCCCCACACATCCCATCCATCCACCACAACCACACCCCTCCACTCAACACAACCACACCCCTCCACTCACCATCATAACATCCCTGTCGATCTCCTCTTGCCGGCATAGCCAGGCGGAGAAGAGCAGAGACTTAAAAAAACATCCATCCACTCACCATTACCATTATCATTACCATTACCATTACCATTACCATCACCATCACCATTACCATCACCATCACCATCACCATCACCATCACCATTACCATCACCATCACCATCACCATCACCATCACCATTACCACTACCATTGACTCACCATGAGCACGTCTCTAATCCCGCCCATGCACTCACCAGGATGACATCGCGGTCGATCTCCTCAGGCAGGCGAAGCTAGGCGGAGTAGAGGAGAGACTCATGCACGGTCACGCCCTCTATTCACCAGTAAACACCTCTCCACTCACCACTATCATTGACTCACCAGGATGACATCGCGGTCGATCTCCTCAGGCAGGCGCATCCAGGCGGAGTAGAGGAGAGACTCATGCACGGTCACCTGGGGCGTGTGAATATCCACCTGCTCACAATACCCCGACACCCTCAGAAACGTCTCCTGCACTTTCGGGTAACCAGACACGCGGATATCCCCTTCAATGTATCCCCCCGGTCTTCCTCCCTGCCAGCACGTCCATTAGCGTGGTCTTCCCTGCCCCAGACACCCCCATCAGGGCGGTCAGCACTCCGGGACGAAACACGCCGGACACATTGCGCAGCAGCTGCAGCCGCTCGCCAGGCGGCGCGGCTTTGTCTTTTAGCTCCGCAGGCATATCGACATAGTAGTTGACGTTGTGGAAGGAGAGGGTGAGCGGATCAAAGGGGAGGACCATGCCGTGCTGGCCTATATCCCCTCCACTCGCAGTCATGCCCCCTGCACCCTCACTCGCATCCCCATCACTCAAGAACGAAACTGCTGTCCTCTGCCGCTGCTTTGCTTCTCCTCTTCCAACCTCTCCTCCTGGGCTGCTAACTGCACTCACCACCCCACCGTCGCTCATGTATGAAACTGGTTTCCTCTGCCGCTGCTTCTCCTCCCCTCCTCCTCCTCCTGTGCCGCTACCTGCAGTCACCACCCCACTATCACTCGCGTCCCCATCACTCAAGAACGAAACCGCTTTTCCTCTGCCGCTGTTTCTCTCCTCCGCCAGAGCTGCTAACTGCGCTCACCACCCCGCCGCCGTCACTCGCGTCCCCATCGCTCAAAAACGAAACTGCTTTACGCTGCCGCTGCTTCTGCTCTCCTCCTGTGATACTAACTGCACTCACCGCACCACCATCACTCACACCCCCATCACTCATGTACGAAACTGCTTTCCTCTGCCGATGCTTCTCCTCTCCTCCTGTGCTGCTAACTCCACTCACCACCCCACCGTCACTCATAAACGAATCCGCTTTCCTCTGCCGCTGCTTCTTACCCCTTCCGCCTGTGCTGCTGATTGCACTGACTCCCGTACTCTCACCCACTTTCCCAGCAGCACCAACAGCAGCACCAGCACCAGCACCAGCACCACCACCAGCACCACCACCACCACCAGGAGAAACACCACCAAAACCCAGAAACGACCCTATACGGCTTCTCCTACCATTCCTACGGCTACCATACGCCCCTTCCCCATCCTCTCCTTCAGACATCCACGACCCCAAACCTCGGGAGCGAAGCGCCGGTCTGCCCGAAGAAAAAAATCCGAGCGAGCGGGCAGAAGCGGAAGGCCTGGCGAGGCTCTTGGGGGAGCGGAAGCGGTTGCTGGCGAGGAAGCGTGCCGTGGCAGTGGAGCCGGTGCGGGAGAGCGTGCGGGCGCGGAGGGAGGAGTAGCGTGAGGCGAAGTCCAGATTGGTGCCGGCTAGAGATGCTTCCCGGGCATCTAGCTGATGCTGGGAGATCACTGGCTGGGCCTTTGGCCATGCTGGGGGGAAGAGGAGAGAGAGGGGGGGGAAGGAGGGGGAAAAGGGGAAGAGCAGGGGGGTGGTTGGAGACGGAGAATGAGGAATCGAGGGGTGATTCAGCGTGAGGGAGCACAGGGAGGAGTAGCGTGAGGCAAATTCCAAATTGGTGCCGGCTAGCGATGCTTCCCGGGCGTCTAGTTGATGCTGGGAGATCACTGGCTGCGCCCTGGGCCACGCTGGGGGAAGGAAAGGGGGAGAAGTTGGGGGGGATCACTGGCTGCGCCCTGGGCCACGCTGGGGGAAGGAAAGGGGGAGAAGTTGGGGGGGGATCACTGGCTGCGCCCTGGGCCAGGATGGGGAGTGAGGGGGGAAGAGGGAGAGGGGGGAATGGTAGAGGGCATGGGAGGGGTGAGCAAGGAGTCTAGTTGATTCTGGGGAGATTCTTGGCTGGGTTTTGGGTTAAGTTGGGGGAAGGAGCGGGTTGTGATGGGTGAGGGGAGAATTGAGAGAGAGTTAGAGCAAGAGTGCATGAGTGAAACAGCTTACGGTTGCAGTATTTGCTGTTTTGGTACTTAGTTTAGTGCGCAGATTATGCTTGAGAGGGAATCAAGTGTGTGCAACTGCTTAAGGTTTTGATACGTTTGTGTACTGTTGAGGTGCTTAGTGCATGGCTCAAAGTTTAGGTGCTTAGTGCACGTTTTAGGTACTTAGTGCACGGTGTACAGTTAAGGTACTTAATGCAGAGGTACTTTGGGCACAGCTTACGGTTAAGGTACTTAGTGTTGAGTCACTTAGTGCACGGGTGGTTGAGTTACTCGAATGCAAGGGCGCAGGATGCAGAGGAGAGTGAAGGCGCCACCAACTGCAGCAGCGCCACCCTACACCCAGTAGCCCTCCGTCCAGAGGTTGAGGCATTGAAGTGCAATGCTTACGGTTGAGATACTCCAGTGCAACGATGGTAAGCAGAATGCAGAGGAGAGTGAAGGCGACACCAACTGCCGCACCAGCCCACACCCAATAGCCCTCCGTCCAGAGGTTGCGAGCTGTGAGCACCTGAATGCCCATTGCTGTGTTCAGCGATGGGGGGTCGGAGGGCTGGGGCGGAGGGTGCGAGGGGGAGCAGAGGGAAGAGAGAGACGAGAGAGACGAGAGAGATGAGAAACGGTTCAGAGGAACTGCATGGTTGGGTGTTTTGTTGGTTTGAGGAGGGGGCTGGTAGAGAGCAGCACCAGCCTACAGCACGGCATAGCACAGCAAAGCACAGCACAACACAGCACAGCACAGCACAGCACAGCACCGCACAGCAAAGCACCGCACAGCACAGCACCGCACAGCACAGCACAACACAGCATAGCACAGCACAGCACAGCACAGCACAGCACAGCACAGCACAGCACAGCACAGCACAGCACAGCACAGCACCGCACAGCACAGCACCGCACGTACCACATCCCATCTGGGGGCGAGGAACTCATTAGCAGAGAAGGCGTTCTGGCAGTACGTGAGGGGCGAGATCCAGTACACCCACACCCACACGGTGTGGATATCGTCTGGAGGGACAAAGGGGGGGCATGGAACAGGCGAACATGGAATGGGATGGGAGAGCATTAGGTGAGGGGCGAGGTCCAATACACCCACACCCACACCCACACCCACACCCACACCCACACCCACACGCTGTGTATGTCAGCTGCAGGGGGGGAGGGCACGGAACAGGCGAAGAAGGATGTGAGCATGAGAGTCGATTGAGGATGGGATGAGATGAGATGATATGAGGGCAGTGGTACGTGAGGGGCGAGATCCAATACACCCACACCCACACATCATGGATGTTGTCTGCAAAGGGCAAAAGGGGCCCACGGAACAGGAGAACATGGGATGGGATGAGAGAGCAGTGAGTGAGGGGCGAGATCCAATACACCCACACCCACACACTGTGAATTTCAGCTGCAGGGGTAGGGCATAGCAGATGGGATGGTAGATGTAGGCATGTGGGCGTGTTAGAGTGACTGTGAGATGGGCATGAGAAGAGCATGCGTGTGTGTGATGGGAATTTTGAGCCGACTCGAAAGACGCTTGAAACAGGGAGGAGAAGAGTGTCCGTTACAATCCTCCTCAGGTAAATTCTCCCACAAGCACATACTTTGAGCTTGAGCAATGGTGAACTCAACCCAGAGAGCAGGAAGAGAAGGGGGCGAGGCTAAATCTAGCTGCTTTTGAGGCGCCTGAAAAGATCAGGAAGAGAAGGGCGAGGTTATATCTAGCTGCGCTTATATTTAGCTAAATGTGGCTGCTCTACACATGGTAGCAACTACTAACGTGTTTGAAGAAGTGTTTTGAGACGTCTCAAAACACTTATATTTAACTAAATGTGGCTGCTCTACACATTTTAGGCAACTACTAACTGCGCTGCCCTCATCAACTGCCCTCCCCTCGCAAGAACACACCTTTGGTAATAAGGAACCCAGAGAGCAGGAAGAGGAGGACGAGTAGCAAGAGGAAATGTGACTGACTGTCAGTACCTGACAAGCACATATGACTGACTCTCAGTACCTGACAAGCACATATGACTGACTCTCAGTACCTGACAAGCACATATGACTGACTCTCAGTACCTGACAAGCACATATGACTGACTCTCAGTACCTGACAAGCACATATGACTGACTCTCAGTACCTGACAAGCACATATGACTGACTCTCAGTACCTGACAAGCACATATGACTGACTCTCAGTACCTGACAAGCACATATGACTGACTCTCAGTACCTGACAAGCACATATGACTGACTCTCAGTACCTGACAAGCACATATGACTGACTCTCAGTACCTGACAAGCACATATGACTGACTCTCAGTACCTGACAAGCACATATGACTGACTCTCAGTACCTGACAAGCACATATGACTGACTCTCAGTACCTGACAAGCACATATGACTGACTCTCAGTACCTGACAAGCACCCACCTTTGGTGATGAGGAACCCTGAGAGCAGGAAGAGGAGGACGAGGATGAAGTTGCCAAGCGTGTTGATGAGCGTGGTGCTGCGGAATATTGCTCCCATGGCTCGGTAGAGAGCAGAGGCAGACATGTGGGTGATGAAGAAGAGGATAAGTTGGGTGATGAAGCTGCAGCAGGAGGGGATGAGGAGACAGGAAGGAGAGTGGCAAGGGGAAACGGGAGGAGGGGTGAGGGGACATTGGATTCGACTCAGGTGTTGCTAACGGTATTGATGAGAGTGGTGCTGCGGAGCATGGCACCCATGGCTCGGTAGGATGCAGAGGCAGTCATGTGGGTGATGAAGAAGAGGAGAAGTTGGGTGATGAAGTTGCAGGGGGGGGAGGGGGGGAATATGAGGAGTCAGAAGGGAGAATGACAAGGGCTAAAAGGTGGAGCGGTGAGGGCTGGTGAGGGAGAGTGGCATGGGGAAAAGGGAGGAGGGGTGAACGGAGCTTTGGCAAGGCAAGTGCCGGTACAAAAAAAACTGGCTCTGAGCAGGCTTACCAGGAAACTCGGGGGCGCATTCTAAACGGACCAGCTGGGCAGGTGACGACCTTTGAGGAGCCTCAAAAGACAAGTGCCGGTACAAACAAGACTGTCTTCAAGCAGCCTTACCAGGAAACTCCGGGGTAAATTCTAAAGGACGAGCTGGGCAGGTAAAGCCGTCCCGACATTGGCTATGAGCTGCGGGCATGGGCAGTATGATAAGCAGCTTTACCGGGAGTACTAGGGGAGCAAATCCGATGGTTCTGCTTTTGAGTCGACTCAAAAGCAGACTATGATAAGCAGCTTTACCGGGAGCACTAGGGGAGAGAATCCAATGGCGTTGCAGGTGGTGATGTGATGGCCGTCCAGCCCAGTTTCCAGTTGAGAGCAGCGCGAGCCTTATGCATCCGTGTTTTGAGTCGACTCAAAAAACGCGAGCAGCGCAAGCATTACGAATGCATGGAAGGCACCTGGAGGAATGTGCTGGACGCACCTCACTGAGACACTCACCAGGAGAACTGGGGGTCGAATCTGATGGCGTTGTAGGTGATAGAGGTCCAGACTCCAGATGAGAGTAGCATGAGCAGCACGAGCAGCAGTGCGGTGCTTGCGACTCACTGGGAGGGCACACAACCGAGACACCCACTCTCATCCATCCTTACCGGGAGAACTGGATGGAGGGCGAATCCGATGCCAATGTCAGCCACGAGTAGCACGAGCAGCCATGACGGATACCTGGAGCCTGGAGGAACATGCCTCACTGAGACACTCACCAGGAAATCACTTTTGAGAACTCTCAGAAGTGGTTTCCATATATCTGTGAGCCTTATGAATCCACAGAGGAACATGCCTCGCTGAGACACTCACCGGGAGAATTCAGGCGCGAATCAGATGCCATAGTAGGTGCTGGTCGTCCAGACCCCAGCTGAGAGCAGTGTGAGCACGAATGGTTGCAGGAGACACATGGAAGAACATACTACCCAAGGGACACTCACCGGGAAAACTCCGGAGCGAAGCCGATGCCATAGTAGGTGATGGTGGTCCACACCCCGGCAGACCACAGCGAGATGGGCAGAGAGAGCAGCGCCATGGGCACACACCAGGCCCAGGCGGGGAACAACAGGTTGTCCCTTTGGAGGAAGTAGATGGGCAGGCGGGCTGTTAGTAGTGTGAGCTCAATTATTCCGCTGAATAGCATCGTGCTTATACCGAAGAAAATGGCGCCCAGGTAGTAATTGCCGTCCAGAGGGGTGATGGAGAATTGGGAATGCCAGAAGACTGACATTGTGACTATAGCGAGGGGGAGGATCTGATAGGCAGGGGAGGGTGGGGTTGGGGGAGGATAGGAGGGGAGAAAGGGCGAAAGTTCAGCAAATAAATCATGTGAGGGTGGGGGTGAGGACGAGTGGGTGGGTAGGCCGGTCAGTGGGACAGTAAGGGGAATCTACAGTGGTGTGACAAGCACTTGAGGTGATTGTTTAGGCGCCTAAAAAATCACCTCAAAGCAAGTGGGTGGGTATGCCGGTCAGTGGGACTGTAAGGGGCATCTGTAGTGGTGTAACGAGCACCTGTTCTTATACCTGCAGAGCATTCTCTGTACGATGTTAAGGAACAGATTTCACTGATCACTGTGACCGTAACGAGAATCTGCTGTACCTGCATGGTCTGCACGATGTAAAGAAACACATTCCGCTTCATTAGCAGCCACTCGCGATCCCCCACAATGGTGAGAATGGCAAGGGGAGAGAGCCCAAACCGCCTCTGTGCAAGAGCAAGAGCCGTGCTCCCATCCTCTCTGTCTCCCTCTCCCTTCTCTTTTCCGTTTTCTACGTCCTTCCCCTCACTCTCTCCCCTGTCTTTCACGTCTTTCCCCTCATTCTCGCCTTTGACTGCACCCCGATCCTTCTCGAATGAAATCGAGAGCTCTGCTTCCATCTGCTTGCCGAACCTGGAGGCTCGGAAGGCCTCCTCAAAGGCTCGGACGGACACGTAACGGTATGGGTGCGGCTGGGAGGGGTCCCAGTACTGTTCCTGGTCTTTTAGCGAGGTGACCTATACGGGGGATGCCAGGAAGCACGGCACAGGAAGCCGGGGTAAAGGAAGGGGGACGAAAAAAAAATAGAGTAAATATATAGCACGGCTTTTTTTTTTATGTCAGCAATTTTTCTGGATGAGCTTTAATTAAGTGCCAAGAGGCTGTGTCAGCCAGATATATCAAGATGAGGAAAAAAAAACTGTGACTTGCTGTAGGCACTGTGATGGATGGAACCTCACCTCTTGCAGGAAGTCAGCCACTCCCTTGCGGGCGGGCGGCGCAAACCCCATTTCCCGGAAGAATCCCAGCACCTCCTCCCTGGGCCCGTGGTACACAATCCGCCCCTCTGACATCAACATGACGTCATCAAACAGCTCAAAGGTTTCAGGCGCGGGTTGCAGCAGGGAGATGAGGGTGGTGGTATTAGTTAAGTGCGTGAGGTTGCGCAGGCACCGGGTGATCTGGTAAGTGGTGGCGGAATCGAGACCGGTGGAAATCTCGTCCAATAGGAGGACTTGCTTTGCACCCAGGAGTGCTTCGGCGGTGGTAACCCGCTTTTTCTGCCCTCCGGAGACTCCTCTACGCATGCTGTCTCCTAACATGGTATCAGCACACACGTCCAGGCCGAGCATCTGCAGGACAGGTCAATTATGAGGAAAATGGGTGGAAGAGAGAACGGATGAGGCTAATGAGTGGATTGTTGCTTCTGCCCTCCTGATATCATCCCTTGGCGGCTGCTTACCCCTACCATGGTATCAGCACACACGTCCAGGCCTAGCATCTGCATGACAGGTGAAAATGGTTGGAAAAGCGAACATAGAAATGACCCACATGCACACTCACTCACACACATGCACACACATGCACACGCATGCACACACATGGACACGCATGCACACACATGGACACGCATGCACACACATGGACACGCATGCACACACATGGACACGCATGCACACACATGGACACGCATGCACACGCATGCACATACATGCACATACATGCACTCACATGCACACACGTGCACAAAAGTGGCGCACACATGCGCACATGAACACACACAAATCCACACATATGCACACACACACACATACACACACTTACACACACACACACACACACACACACACACACACACACCTTAAGGACGTACTGCACCACAACATCGGAGCACTGCCTCCCATCCGCCATTGCCTGCAGCAAAGGGCGATGACCATGATGCATGCAACAATAACAAAGGGAGGGTGATGAGGGGAAAAAATGGTATGGGGTGGAGGTAATGTGGTGTGTTTCAAACTTGTCCGCGCATTGGGTGAGTGTGGTGTTTCAATCCTAAGCGCACATCAAAGAGACATCAAGTGTCACGGGGGCACAAAGAATTCATCAAGTCATTTCCAACTCAAAACACCTGTGCGGAAATAGCTATTACGGTTGTCATTGTGGAATCAACACTCCCATGACGTCATCACTACCTTCATAACGGCTTGCATGACGTCATCGGGCTGGACTCCTGCCTCCTGCTCTTTCTCCTCCAGCTGCCGAAACAGGTCTGAGTGGGGAAGGAGGGAATGAAGAATGAACGACCGGTATTCAGGGAGCAGAATGTTTAGGAAGCATCATAAGTAGGTAGCAGGAAGAGTGCGGAGCAGATGGCAGTGTAGTTGGGATCAGAATGAGGAGTGGGCATTTGAGCTTCAGAGTACCACCAGAGAAGGAGGGAAGGACTGCAAGGGGGAGGGGCAGAGGAAGCGAGGGAGGGAGGGAACGAGGCAGGCAGGCAGGCAGGCAGGGGGGGGTGAGGAGGGAGGGAGGGAGGGAGGGAGGGAGGGAGGGAGGGAGGGAGGGAGGGAGGGAGGAGGGAGGGAGGGAGGGAGGGAGGGAGGGAGGGAGGGAGGGAGGGAGGGAGGGAGGGAGGGAGGGAGGGAGGGAGGGAGGGAGGGAGGGATTTCAGTAGGTCACATTCCCACCTGCTCTGTGGCCTTCCGCCTTTTGAGACGCCTCAAATCTCACCTGACCTGTGACCCGGCCCCTGCAGGCGAGCCGAGAACTCGAGGGTCTCGCGGACAGTCATCTCGCCGATGTGGGAGTCCGTCTGAGGCACAAACGCCACGGAGCGCGGCAGCACAAAGTGGCTCCCCCGACGGCCGTTGTACGTTACCTCGCCCTGCACGCCCAGCTCCCTCTCCGCCTTCCCTGCCAGGATCCTCAGCAGCGTTGACTTGCCGCTGCCTGGCGGCCCCAGCAGCAGCGTCAACCTGTGGGTTGAGCGAGCCGGTGGGGTGGGGTGGGGTGGGGTGGATTAGGTGCTGATCAGGTGCTGACCAAGTTGGGGCACCTCAAGGAGGATCTTCAGCAGCGTTGGCTTGCCGCTGCCTGGCGGCCCCAGCAGCAGCGTCATCCTGTGGGTTGAGCGAGCCGGTGGGGTGGGGTGGGGTGGATTAGGTGCTGATCAGGTGCTGACCAAGTTGGGGCACCTCAAGGAGGATCTTCAGCAGCGTTGGCTTGCCGCTGCCTGGCGGCCCCAGCAGCAGCGTCATCCTGTGGCGGGAATGGGTGGGGATGGGTATGATTAGGTGGAGCTGGGTTTGACTAGGCGCCGGCATGTACAGCATCTTGGGCTATTGGCAATGCCAAAGCAGCCATCAAGGGCAAAGAGTGTTCAGTGCCTATCCTTGAATACCAACCGCCACTCCCGCAACATAGCTGGTTGGCTTGGAATCAAGTTACCTGCCAGCTAATGGAACCCCACTTAGGAGGCATGTCGTTGCGTGGCAGCGGCTTTGTTTGGTTAAAAATGTATGTTTGTAGGGCTTGCTTAAGACCTTTGTAGAAAAATGATGGTGGTAACTAGTTTCGGCTTTGAGCCTTCTTCAGACCACAAAGGCACGAGAATGAAAGCAAGCACCCTAAATACCAATCCCGGGGCTCCAGCGCGAGGCATTCCTTCGCGGGGCTGGGATGGCAGGGAAAACTAGAGAGGAACAGTAGAAAACTACTCTACAGTAATCTAGCACTTATGAGCAGAAATAAAAACAAATGCCTACTCTTTTTGGTAACCTCCAAGCAATGATGCTTCTTCGTGTAGAGAAAACGCCGTGTGACATGACACTGAGCTGACTTTTGAGTCGACTCAAAAGTGCGCTCCTGCAAAATCAGCTAGTAGGCTTGGAATCAAGTTACCTGCCAGCTTGAGGATCTCAGAGCCGTCATCAAGCGCAAAGAAACAGGCGCCACTGACCCTCCACTATCCGCAGCTCCCTCATCACCAGCAAGGCTTGAAGAAACCCCTTACCTGCCAGGCTTGAGGATGCCAGAGCAGCCGTCAAGAGCGAAGAAGAGGCGGCGCTGGTCCTTGAGTAGCCGCAACTCCCTCAGCACTGCGCCGACAGTATTCGAGACCTGGTTGGGCAGCGTAGGCAGGCCCCTCTTCCCCACTTGCACCTTGGCAGACGCGCTCACCCCCTCAAAGCGCACCTCCACTCCGGGGAAAGAGACGCCAACGCTGCGAGGGAAGGGAGGGTATGGGTAGAGAATGGGAGCAATGTAAGGGGTGATTGGCTTGGCAGGCCCCTCGCCTCCACTCGCACCTTGGCGGACGCGCCCACCCCCTCAAAGCGCACCTCCACTCCGGGGAAAGAGACTCCCACGCTGGGAGGTTGAGGTGAGGGATGGGTAATAGAGAAGGCAAACTTTCAACTTGAAGTTAGAGAGGGTTGAACTTTACTACGGGCCCTTGATTTTTGAGACGAGCAATAGTGGAACGCACGCTTTGAGGGGTGAGCATCCGCCAGGCAAGGCCGCTGAAAGCTCGTGCGGCGATCTTCTTGGGAGTGGCGCCAAACGAGCGTGCATGGCGAGTGTGGGACTTGGGTGAAAAGCGCGTTGTCACGTCTCGGGACGTGGTCTTCGATGAAGACAAGTTCTCGTCAAAGGAAAAACCCACTCAACAACTCACCTTCATCCTTCCGCCACGAGAGGAGGTTGAAGAGAGTGAGGTTCCATCTCAAGTGGAGAAGGAAGCCGACGAAGGAGGGGGAGGGAACAACGAGGAGAGCGTTGATGATGTCGAGGAGGTGTCACCAACCGAGGCGGCAACTACCTCCACACCTTCCTCCCTACCATTGGCCTTGACTCGCGAGCGTCGTGAGGTTCGTCCTCCCTCCAAGTACGCCGACTATGCTACGGTAGCCGTTGGGAAGACGGATAAGGAGGGCGTGGCATATTGCTTCGCGACCAACGGTGATAATGAACACGCGGATTCCCTCACGGAACCACTCCCTAAAGGTTCACCCCGTGCATGCTATGAGCATGTTGGCTTGCGCACCTAGTGGGTTGGGTGCAAGGGGGAGTGTTGGAGGGAGTTCGGTGGTGGGGCGGTTGTATGCCCCCAACCCACCGAGGGCACTTCGGTGCATTCGATTCCTTTGACTAGGGATCGGTGGGGTTGCACCGATTGACTTCGGAAGACTCACAATTCGGTGCCACGTGGCGGCACCACATTCCAACCTTCAAGTGCAAAGCGAATTCGGTGTGTTCGGTGTGAAATTCGGTGGCCGAATTTCACCCCAACCGAAATGTTGCACGCGGCGCATTCGCGACGCGAGTGTAGCGATGCGATGTTACATGTGCGGTTCGATGTAATGCATTTGCTATAAATCGACTTGCCTTGTATGCATGTTTCATAGTGAAACTCAGAGTTCTTTGTACAAGGTACATTCGAGCTCAAATTCCAGAGAGCTCCTATCCTTCAATCTAAGAGCACTACCTAGCACATAAACGGCGATATCTCGCTCGATACTTAGGCGAACGAGGTGATATACGGCTTGTTGAAAAGCTAGCAGAGTGCTCTACTGCTTAGAACAATTCCCAGTTCCTGCAAAGTAGAGAAGAGTCCTCTACAACAGGGCCCTGCCAGTATCCTTGATTGAAGTTACTTCTGGTGACCTCGAGGTAACCCCGTCGTAGGGTATGTGCTAGGTGCTCGTAGGCAAGAGGTTAGTAATCTCAACGCGTTCCACCATGAAAGGGTTCATACTCCTCGACATGTCAGAACGCATTAAACCCGAGCACCTGGCATATAAGTAAATAAATTAATCAAAAAAAAAAAAAAAAACACACACACACACACACACACAATCCTCACTTGGCGCCAATCTCACCTGTCCAGTCGTCGCCGCATCTTATCCAGAAACTTTTCGTTGTCCAGCTCGCCGCCCTCCATCGCCTGCTCCACCAATCGCCGCCACGCTACCTGCCGCTCCTCGCGATCCGCCTCCCCCATCCTGGCTGTCGCGTTCGTCACCTCACAAGTTGCGATTCCAGTGGTTTTTCTTTCCGGTTTTTTCCGTCCAATTTTGCGTACAATCAGTGCGGTAGTGCAATGCCAGTGCTTTGGGATGCAGTGCGCTTCCTCTATGCAGCGGCGTACTGCGCTAGTAATACAGCCTGTTTACATTTCTATCGCGCGATTTGAAGAACCATGCGTCTACAAAAAAGTTGACTGAGACCGCTGGCAGCACTTGAGCTTTGAGGAGCTCTCAAACTGGTAAGGTGCACTACGTTTTACTGTACTGTGATTGCTGACATGTTTCCAGTAGAACAGTCATAGAGATGTTTCCCCTTACCTGAGATGTTACCTGACCAACACGTTTTGGGAGGAAAATCGCTGACTGTAGGTGTGGAAAAAACAACAGCTGACTGTGGGAAAACAACAGTTTCGGGAAGCTGCTGGCTTGGGCAGGTCATGCGAATTCTTTTTGCCGTTATTGGTGGCAGGGAGACCTCCTCAAACACGACCCAAGACACTCTGCGGGTAGGAAAACATAAAGTAAGGGCATCAGACAAAATTTCCGCAGCTTCACTTCACAACCACCACAGGTTCGTGAGAAGCAGGACGAAATGTGATGAGCAGCGCGAAGTTTTCACGTGGGTGCGTCGGTTGGCCTGATGGACCACTGCTGCACGACGTGTGGCGATTCTCCGCAGCGCAAATGTCGACGTGACGTGACGAGCCGCTTCGCATCACCCCTGCCAGATGTGTTGTCAAAAACTGGTCGTGCCTTTTCAAGCGTTGTGAAATCAAATACACCTTCTGTTGCTTGGGAAGGCCATACACACATATGCATAAGTCTTTATAAACGGTATATATATATTGGGTTTAAAACCCAAGACCTGAATTACAAAACAAAAAAAAAATGGCAAACTGTGCACAGTTTGCCTACCGAACCCACAGTTGACTTCCCGAGCCAGGCTGGTTACCAGAAAATATAGCACACAAAAAAACACTGAGTACCTCCTCGCCACTGCAATTTCAGCGCGGCTGATGTACCTCGCCCGGACTATGCCGCCGCGTCCGGAGGTGGTTGAGGCTTTTAGGGATTGGGACAGCTGTTTAGAGGATTGCTTTGAGCAGCTTTTCCCACCTGGCACTTGGGAGCATGACCCCGACCGGTCTAGGCGCGCACGCATGCAGCTGCATCTCCCTGTGCGTTTCGGAGGGTTCGGGATCCGGGCGGCGGCCTCTTTGAGCCCACTGTCCTATGTTTGCGGGTGGGCGCAGGCCGCGCGGGACATTGCACAGTTAGGGGTGGCGGATGAGGAGGCGATGTTTGCTGAGTACCTCACCACTTCGACAGGGGCAGAGTTTCTTGACCCGTGGTTTGTCAAGGCTCTCGAGCAGCTGCCAGCGACTATCCGCCACGAGATACCGGGCTTACCTCTGTGTGTAGCGGCCCCTCCTATTCGGCTTTTCCAGGCGCGTCAGCGGCAGTTAGCTGTAGAGGAGCTCCAGGCACTGCGCCGCTTGGCTCGTGACGATGCTACCTTGGCCCGTTTCACATCCCTTCAGGGCCCGGGGGCAGGTGCATGGGTTTCGGCGGTTCCGGCTCACTCAGATCTCACATTCACTGCGGCTGAGTGGGGCATTGCTGCTGCTATACGGCTCGGCCTCCTAATTCAGCAGCTGCAGGTGGCGGGGAGGTGTGTTTGTGGCACAGCGTATGTTGACCCAGCAGACCCGCACCATGCCCTGAGATGCAGGCACCAGCATGGTCCTTCTCGTGTGCATGATGAGGTGAAGTTTGCGGTGGCGAAGATCTCTAAGGCGTCGGGGGGGGGGTGGTGACATTGGAGGATAGTGTGGTGCTGCAAGGGAAGCGGGTTGATGTGGCGGTGCGACGTCCAATGGCTGGAGAGGCTCACGCCCTAGAGATCAGCGTCGCGGACCCGCTATCGCTGTCTCCATCACTGCTGGGACAGTGCGGGCGTCAAATAGGTGTGGCGGCAAGAGAATGGGAGCGTCGCAAAACGAGTGATTACGCGCCTCTGCTTGCACGCAACCGGGGCGTGCAGTTCACCCCTTCGATAGTTGAGACGTGGGGGTGTCTCGGCGGTCGTTTTCAGCGGTGGCTTCGTCAGCAGGGGGATGCGCACGTGGGGCTAGCTGTGTCGCGGGGGGCTTGTCGAGAGGACGACTCTGTGTTTTCGGCTTATCTTTTAGGGTCACTTAAGGCGCTCATCGGGGTGGCGTTACAACGTGCGCAAGCCCGTGTCATCCTGCTTCGAGCGGCGTCTTCCATGGGGGGGATTAACGTAGATTTGGCGGATCGGGAGAGGGACGATGTCGATGTGGAAGGCGGGGCTCTCTGGGTGGAGGCCCCTGTCAGAACATTGTAGCTTATGCATATTGTGTAGGTTATAGTGGGGTAGCCCATAAGGGGTACAACCCAATTAGGGTTAGTACTTGTACCCAATTCATTCATAGTTCATCCATTCTCGTTTCTTCTCATGGTATCGAGCAGGTTCCCTAACGGGAACGATTCCTAGGGCCCACCACTACGAATTTTTTTTTTCCTGCCCGGAGCGCGCTCCGCTCAGGCCCGAGTCGCGCCCCGTGTGCTCTCCCTACCATCGCGCTCTCGCTAGGCCCCTCACGGCCCCGTCCCGTCGCCCTTAGCGGCCCTGTCGCGGCCCGTCGCGCCGCCCTTCGCGGCCGCGTCGCGCCCCCCCCCCCCCCCCCCCTTTCGCGGCCCCGTCGCGCCGCCTCTGTCGCGGCCCCGCCCCACCGCCCGGCGGCCTCGTCGCCTACCCCGCGGCCATCGCGCCGCCCTTTACCGGCCCCGATCCGCCGCCCTTCGGCCTCGTCGCCCACCCCGCGGCCCTCGCGCCGCCCTGCGGCCCTGACGCCGCCCTTACCGGCGCCTTCCGTGACGGCCCCGCCACTTACCTGTAGGCCCCGCCACCTACCTACGGCCCCGCCGCTACTGACGGCCCCGCCACCTACTCGCGGCCCCGTCACCTACTTGCGGCCCCGCCACCTACTCGCGGCCCCGCCACCTACCTGTGCCGCCCCACCACCTACCTACTGGCCCCGCCACCTACCTGCGGCCCCGCCACCTACCAGCGGCCCCGTCACCTACCTGCGGCCCCGCCACCTACTGACGGCCCCGCCACCTACTCGCGGCTCCGCCACCTACCTGTGCGGCCCCGCCACCTACCTACTAGCCCCGCCACCTACCTGCGGCCCCGCCACCTACCAGCGGCCCCGTCACCTACTTGCGGCCCCGCCACCTACTGACGGCCCCGCCACCTACTCGCGGCCCCGCCACCTACCTGTACGGCCCCGCCACCTACCTGCTGGCGCCGCCTCCTCCCAGCGGCCCCGGACGCCGCCCTCTCAGCGGCCCTGCTGAGCCGCCCGGCAGTCGAGCCGCCCAGCAGCCGAGCCGCCCAGCATCCGAGCTGCCCTGCCACCCAGCAACCGAGCTGCCCTGCCGCCAAGTCGCCCAGCAGCCGAGCCGCCCAGCAGCCGAGCAGCAGAGCCGCCGAGCCGCCCAGCAGCCGAGCCGCCAAGCCGCCCAGCTGCCGAGCCGCCGAGTCGCCCTGCAGCCGAGCCGCCGAGCCGCCGAGCCGCCGAGCCGCCGAGTCGCCCTGCAGCCGAGCCGCCCGAGCCGCCCTGTCCGGTAAGAGCAGCGTCTCTTTCACAGCACTGCCCTCACCCTACTGTTTGCGCTGCTAGTCTACTTCTGTCATGGCTACCCCTAGTGTCCTCGCTTTTGACGCTGAGGGTCGGGCCATTAACTTTGATGTCTGGAGAGATGACCTGCACCTTTTCTTACAGTGCGATAGGGCAGACGGCCTCTCCCTCTTTGACCTCACTTCTGGTGCCTCTCCTGCCCCCGCTGCTTATACTGACGCCACTGTTCGCTCACAGTGGGCCACTCGCGATGCTGCTGCACGTCTTGCTGTGCGTCGCCACCTGCCTACCTCTGAGCGTGCGCACTTTAGCCAGTACAAGAGTGCTCAGACCTTGTACGACGCTGTAGTTGCACGCTACTCCTCCCCTGCCACTGTTGCACTGAGCTGCCTCATGCTACCATACCTCTTCCCTTTCCCACAGTCATTGACCTCATTACGCACCTCCGCACTAGTGACACTCGCTACCGCGCTGCGCTTCCTGCTGAGTTCTGCGCCAAGAACCCCCCCCCCCCATGTACATCACCCTCTACTACATAGTCACCCGCCTCCCTGACTCCCTTCGCGTAGTCAGGGACCACTTCCTCTCAGTTTGCCCCACCACTCTCACCGTTGACCTCCTCGAGAAGGCCCTCCTAGCAGTAGAAACGAGCATAGTAGCTGTAGGAGCCTCTCGTGGTGACCCTCGCACCCCCATCTTTGAGGGATGTTCCCCCTCCCCTCTTTTGCCCTCTGTTGCCTCTGCTGCTACGGCCGACCTCGTTGGTCTGGAGTCGGTCGGTGCGGCGTCTACCCCTAGTGGGAAACGTCGCTCTGGCAAGGGCAAGGGGGGCGGGGGCGCTGGAGGAGCTAGCGGGGGCGGTGGAGGAGGCGGTGGAGGCAGTGGAGGGGGTGGGGGTGGTGGTGGGGGTGGTGGCGGGGGTGGAGGTGTCGGCGGCGGCAGTGGAGGCGGAGGCGGCGGCGGCGGTGGCGGTGGGAGCGGAGGTGGTGGAGGTGGCGGAGGTGGAGGAGGCGGTGGCGGAGGCGGAGGAGGAGGAGGAGGTCGTGGCTCTTCGCAGAGGAGTGGCTCCGGTGGTGGTCAGCGCCAGCAGCAGCAGCGCAGTCGGGAGACCCTGTCCCCTCAGCAGCTCCGTGAGTGGTACACTACACGCCAGCGGGGTGGGGGTACTGGTCCGTGCACCTACGTCCTGCGCACCGACGACCGTGCGGGTGAGCAGTGTGGGGGTGCGCACCCCACCCAGCGCTGCTTTGGCCGCCTGACGGACGCTTGGCGTCACCAGTTCCCTGAGGCCATTGAGATCCCTCGCTGGGGCGAGCTGTCTAGGGCAGGGGTAGCTATCTTTGACCTTGACTTTGATGCTATTCTTGCTGCTATGTATACTGTGTCTATTAGTGAGGAGGGTGACTGTTACCAGTGTTTCCCGCCCGACCCGGACATTGGTACTGCTGCTCTAGGTGCTGGTGAGGCTGCTGCCCTTGGTGCTAGCGAGGCCGCTGCTCTAGGTGCTAGTGCGTCTGCTTCCTCTGGTACTGGTGAGTCTGCGCTCTCAGGTACTGCGTCGGCTTCGGCCTCCCACACCTTCACCCTTGACTCGGGGGCTTCTCGCTCCTTCTTTCGAGACCGCACCACACTCACGCCGCTTGGTCGGCCAGTTGCAGTCTCTCTGGCGGACCCCTCTGGGGGTCCTGTCCTTGCTCACTTCTCCACTGTCCTCCCGTGTCCGGCGGCCCCCTCTGGCACCCTGTCTGGTCTTTACCTCCCCTCGTTCTCTACGAACCTGGTGAGTGGTGCTGACCTACAGGATGCGGGGGTTCACCAGTTCACTCCTGCGAGTCAGCGGGTGACCCACTGCACGAACGCTCGGACAGGCCGACACCTGGCCACGTTTACCCATCGGCCGGGGTCGAGCCTGTACACACTGACCACTGCGTCTCCTCCAGTCACTGCGTCTGGTCAGGTAGCTGCGTCAGGTCAGGTGTTAGCTGCTGCGTCCAGGTCTGGTCCTGAGTCTGCCCCCTGCTCGTGTCGCCTCCTGTCTCACGAGACTCTCCTCTCGCACCACAGCCTTGGTCACCCCTTCCTGCTTCGTCTCCGAAGCATGGCCTCCCGTGTCCTTGTCTCTGGTCTTCCTCGGTCCCTCCCTCCCCTTCCTCCGGGGCCTGGCCCTACCTGCGTCCCCTGTGTCGAGGGGCGGCAGCGGGCTGCTCCTCACTCCTCCCAGTTTCCTCCGACAGAGGCCCCGCTGCAGACGCTTCACATGGACGTGTGGGGCCAAGCCCGCGTCCGTGGACAGGGTCACAAGCGCTACTTCCTGCTGGTGGTTGACGACTACTCGCGTTACACCACAGTCTTCCCCTTGCGCAGCAAGGGTGATGTCACTGAGGTGCTGATCGACTGGATCCGCGCAGCTCGTCTCCAGCTCAGGCAGAGCTTTGGCTTGGACTTTCCTGTTCTGCGTCTGCACTCTGACCGAGGCGGAGAGTTCTCCTCTGGCCTTCTACGAGCCTACTGTCGTGCACGGTGCATCCGCCAGACCTTGACGCTTCCGGACTCTCCACAGCAAAATGGGATTGCTGAGCGCCGCATTGGCATGGTCATGGACGTCGCCCGTACGTCCATGATGCATACGGCTGCCCCCCATTTTCTGTGGCCGTTTGCGGTCCGGTACGCGGCGCATCAGATCAACCTTCAGCCCAGGGTCTCCATGCCGGAGACCTCCCCAGCTTTGCTGTGGACGGGGAAGGTTGGCGATGCGTCTGCGTTCCGTGTCTGGGGATCTCGGGCGTTTGTCCGCGACTTGTCTGCGGACAAGCTGTCCCCTCGTGCTGCTCCTTGCGTCTTCCTGGGTTTTCCCCCTGACGCGCCAGGGTGGCAGTTCTACCACCTCACCTCTCGCCGTTTTCTGTCCTCCCAGGACGTCTCGTTCGACGAGTCGGTCCCCTACTACCGTCTCTTCCCCTACCGCACTCCGTCCCTCCCCGCGCCACCGCTCTTCCTTGTGCCAGGTCCCCCCCGGTAGACCCCCTCCCCCCTCAGGGTCCTGCCCCTTCAGGTGTGTCCCAGGTAGACGCTGTTGAGCCTGTCGAGGTCACTGGTGACTCTGGTGCTGCTGAGGGTGCTGAGCCTGGGGGTGCTGACTCTGGGGGTGCTGAGCGTGTGGGTGCTACGCCTGGGGGTGCTGAGCCTGGGGGTGCGGAGCCTGAGGACGCTGGGTCTGCTGGTGCTGTGCCTAGCGGTTCTCCGGGTGCTTCGTCTCGCCAGGAGCCACTCTCTCCACAGGAGCTGTGTGAGTGGTTTGTCCGGCGCTGGAGGCGAGCTGCTGGAGCTGGAGGTGCTGCGGGTACTGGAGGTTCTGTTGCTGCTGAGGGAGCTGGTGCCGCGGGTCCCGGAGGTGCTCGTACTGGGAGTACTGGAGCTGCTGGGCCTGCGGGTACTTCTGGAGTTGGAGCTGCTGGGCCTGCGGGTACTTCTGGAGTTGGAGCTGCTGCGGGTGTTGGCGCGGAGGCTACTGCTATCGGTCCTGGAGGCGGTCCTGCTGGGGGTGCTACTGGTGCTGCTGGAGGTCCTGGAGCTGGAGGTGCTGCTAGTGCTGGTGCTGCCGCTGGGGGTACTTGTGCTGTCCCTGCTGTGTCTGGAGTCGCCGCGCGGCCTCGGCCATACTTCGTTCCGCTCCTTCAGCAGGTTCTTGGTCTCTCGTCTT